TGAAACGGATGAGTTATAAAAAAATTCACCCCCCTCACAGTTGTCATGAAGGGCAAAATTAGCTATATAGACCAAAACCACTTTTTGTACCAGGCTGTAAACATATTTTTTTCTGCTGTCTGAGGCTATGGGACTGACTCTCTTTTGGAGCCAGCCTCTAGCGGTCAGTTGATGAATTGCAGTTTTAGTCTTTGTGAAATATTACAATTTAAAATAACGGTTTTATATTTTAATATATATTTGAAATGTAATTTATTCCTGTGATGGCAAAGCTGTATTTTCAGCAGCCATTACTCCAGTCTTCAGTGTCACTCGCTCCTTCAGAAATCATAATATGCTGATTGTAGAGAGAAACAGCATTTATTTGAAACAGAAATCTTTTGTAATACTGTGAAAGTCTTTACTGTCACTTTTTATCAAATCTTGATCATTTTTGCTTAATAAAAGTATTAGTTTCTTTCAAATAAAAATCTTACTGACTTATCTTACTTATCACAATCGCATTACAACAACCACAAATTTAATCAGTATGTAATATTATATATATTGTAACAAAACTAAAATTTTAAAGCGATTGACAAACCTATTTTAAACAGTTGCCAATAGACACAGTAAAGTAACTCGGCCATCCCATCAGTCCCATAATAATACCACAGCATTATGAGCAGGACTGAATATGTGAACAAAACCACTGTCCTGATCGTACCTATCTTGCGTTTCCCCAAACTGAGCTAGAGTTTTATCCACACGTAATGCATAATTAAGTGCTGGCCTTTCAGACTAGCTCTGTTGAAACAGGGGAATGTGGTTAGGAGTATGACATGAACTGGGCAAAGAAATAGAGATAGGTTGAGTGTGTGGGTATGGGTTTTAAGCCATGTATATAGGTTGCGTTGTATAAACAGGATGTTTGTATAGTGCAGGAGAGGACGCTTACAGGACTGCACCACTCTGTATGCTGCAGCACACAGTATATGCATGTATATTGCAAGTATTCCTGTACATGTGGTTGTGTGAATGTGTGTGTACATGTGCTCTCTTACCCAAGGTGGCTGCTCGACTGTCCTCTTGATCTGAACCAATGCCTGTGCGAGGACTACTGCTCTGTTCAGCCTCTGAGAAAGAAAAAGAGAGACAGAGAGACATTAGTCCTCAACTCAGCAGATTCTCTTAACAGATATATATATATAT